GCACAAATTCGAAAAACAGCAATTATTATATCGATTGCGTCTACTCCACAACCCAACACACACTCTTTGCCCTCACCGATACTTATCAATTGGAGGCTTGGGACATGTCGACTTCACCCCCCCGAATTGATACGACTTATGGGTGAGTTTAGTAGCATCCTCGAGAAGAAGACGAAGAAGAAGGAGATGTTACAGTCGAGAGATGACTTGACATGTTGGCAGCGTTACCATCTGGTGGTTGCCAGAGAGGATCTCCTGGTGGTGACTCAGCACATCATGCTATCCGTTGACTCGGATGGTTTGTATGTCGACTTCGACTCAGATGATTCTGAGAGACCAGCTTTTGAGCTTCCGACCGTGACTATTGATTTTGATGTTCATAGATATGATTGGGAGGATGGGGATTTAAAGTATGTGGAAGGTTCGAGTTTGGGTGGTTGGGCTCTTTTCTTTGGTGCGAGTAGCCATTCTGTTGCGTTGCGTGCGAGTGACTTCCCGGAGCTGAAGCCCAACTCTATATACTTCACGGATGCTTTAGAATTGAGTTTGAATCAAGGTAACCATGACATTGGCATTTTCAGTTACATGGACAAGACTGTGTCACCATGCTATTATCCATGCGATCCTGCCGACCTAAAACCGATTTTCCCAGCGCCCATCTGGTTTTTCCCAACCAGCTTCTGATTTTTTGGGATGTTGTGGATTGTTTAGTAATCATGTTCTGTTCTTGTTAATGTCAGAGTATGTTTTGGTTAGGTCTCATCATAAACAATCACCCCCTAAAGTGCTCCATCACTCATAATGAATTTAGTAATTTGACATATGATATAACATCATCTTCAATTCTAATTTCAACCTCAAGTTCCGTATATTACAACATTTCAAACACAAAAAGCAAATGAGCCCTTCCGACAAACAACCGGCCTGGCCTATTTATATAACCACCTGCCTATTTACATATATATGAGCCGTCAAGGCTGTTTAGTTCACTAGACAGTACAAACACACCCTATTATGCGTAGAACAGTATAAAATACAGAATGACAAGACACATTCTTAGGTTGAATCTGTGAACTTGTAAGAAGCGTAAGAGAGAGTGTAATTTGTCCAGCTGTCGTGGATGAGCTCTGCTTTTGGTTGAGCACCGGCTGCACCCATTGCAACGTGTAATGGATAGAAATGGTCCGGCCGTGGGTGTGCCAGTTTGGCAAATGGTGCCTTCGCTTCATAGTTGTTCACGTCTTCGTACCTGGTGCGGCCCAACGGATGCGGAACAATTTGAGTCGCAACTAAAAATTCAAATATTATTCAAATACAATCAAAACCAAAAGAATTTATTTTCAATCACCACCTTACCTTTTATTTATCCTTTGGAGAAAAATACCATGATCAATCTTTCAAATTTCTCCAAAAAATAGTCTCAATATTACTTGAAAATACAGACGGGCTCAACTTACATTCCATCAAGGAGCGATTCTTTAAGCCACTCGTTAAACTCGGCAGCCCATGAAGCCACAGAGCCTTTGATGTTTTCCATGGTCCTTAGGTTATGCACGGCCGAGCCCGAACCAACTACAAGAACTCCTTCTTTCTTGAGTTGGGCCAATGCCTTCCCCATGTTATAGTGATGGGTGGCGTTCATGTTCGTCTGAACTGACAGCTGGCAGACAGGAATATCAGCGTCCGGATACATGAGCATGAGCGGGACCCACGCCCCGTGATCCAGACCGCGCTTCTTGTCCACGTGGACCCGCTCGAACCCAGTTTCTTCAAGTAGCTTCTTCACCTTCACCGCCAGCTCAGGCGCTCCGGGTGCCGGGTACTTGAGCTGTGGGAACAAAACCCAGTTGAGATTTTTAATCAACAATAAAATTTGTTATACCTCATAATTGTTAACAAGGCCTTCAATCTGCTACCATCTCTGCTTTCATTTTTAACTGTACATGTATGCCTTTAGAGATGTTAAATGAAATGAGTCGCTCGTGAGCTCGGCTCGAGTTCGGCTTGTTAAAACTCGATATCGGCTTATTTCTAGCTCGTTTACTTAACGAGCTAAAGGCTCGAGCTGAGTTCCGCTCGGCTCGGCTCATTCGGATCATCAGATTCATCAATCAACGGGAGTAAGATGAATCATCATGTCAATCATCCATTCTTCTTTTCATTATAATATTATCAAAATCAACCACAGAAAACCAAAACACGATTCGGTAAGCGAGTGGGTAAACCAATTGGACAGAATATCACAAAATCAACAGCACAGTTGTTTCTGCTCATTCGTTTCATCCGATTCACCAATCACCGGCAGCCAATCAACGATCAATCGACACTGAAAACCCTAAAATATTTCTAGGTATTGCCCCCACAGAAACGTGAAAGACGAGAAAACAGAACGCATAGATCACCTGATACATGGGCTTGGGAAAATTGTAGAAATCGTGAATGGTGTCTGAAGGCCCGTTAACGGCGTTGACGGTGGGCTCGACGGTTTCCCAATGAGCCGAGACCATGAGAATGGAGGTGGGCTTCTGGGCCAGCACCCTCTGCCGGAAAGATTTGAGGAAGTGCCTCGCCGGCAAGGAGTCGTCGATCGCCAGCGTTGGCGAGCCGTGGGAGATGTAGAAGGTCTCCTTCAGTCCGCCGGCCATAAATAACGACGTCGTGCTGATCATCACATAAGCATATGCTTGATCTGAATCTATGAAGAAAACGAATTATGACAATTGCATTTAGACTTTAGACTTAAAAAAAAAAAAAGAAAAAAAAAAAAAA